TTGGCTTCTAATTAAGGTAAACACAAACAATTTAAAAATGAGAATTTTAAAGAAAAGGAATCTTTTTTTTTGCTAATAAAGTCATGCGATCCGCAAAAAAACTGAGACATTTTCATTTAATATATAAACTCTGAAGAGAAGAAACCTTTTTTCAAAAAGAAACCAATATATTGTCACGCCCCAGAACCCAAATTCGGGGACGTGGCAGACGCCGTGCACTTGTGAGATGAGTCCCACAAATGCACAAGGTTCGGAACTTAATCATATCATACTCTGATACCATCAAAATCTGAAGATCAAATCTTTAAAATTTGCTCTGATATCATAAAATCTCCAAATACACTATAGCTTACAAGATCATTATTTATCTCTAAAATCTATATCAATCTCGAAATGGCTAGCTTTCTAACTCGTCACTTCTCGTGGTTTCCCCGTCCTTGGTTTTGGTTTCGCTTCCTGAAATGATAAACAAGGAAAAACTATGAGATAAACTCAGTAAGTAAAATCTGGAGTGCCCCTTGTTAAACTTATAGCATGCCAACATGTGCAATCACGCAAAACGGATACAGTACGGGAACGAAATAGACGTCTCCTCTACAGGTCATGACCAATGTATTAAACTTCCCACTGGCAAGCACACGATTTACTAGTGTATAATCCCTACTAGCAGGGTCACTTGTACGAACCGGTTCTATCACTAACATATCGACATGTGCTGACATGTGCTAGCGTTTAACCCCCACTAGCAGGGTTACAAGAACATAACCACATCGGAGACAAAACAGGCAGAAGTTAACAGAAAAATCATAATTCACCAATCACTTTTAAATCATCAGGACAATCACTTAAATTTCAAGTAGGCATGCTCAATTTAATGAAAAGCATAAAAATTCCACTTCAAATCAATCATGCTTGTATAAAACGGGTTTAGTCCTGCCACCACTTCAAAAGCAAATCAAAACATGCTTTTAAAATCGAAGGGCGTTACCATAATCTATTTACCTCACTCGCATAAAACCGAGCACTCAATCTCAATGCTAACTGGCAGAACGATCGGGAACCTAATCAAATATTCAAGGATCAATACCGTACTATCACAATTTCAAAGTGAAATCATCATTAGGATCACTCTTAATCACGGTGCTGTTTTTATCAATCTCCACATTATCAGATATCTCCAAATTCGTTCTTATATCACAAACTAATCATTTAAATCCCCGTTAATTGTTGGCCCTTGGTGTGTGAACAGTAATTTGTGAACAGTACCGTAAACAGTTCTCGTGAACTAAACACGACGTGAACAGTAACTCTACTTCCACAAATTGGCCAAAACACTAACTAATTCACGGGATTTTCTCCAAAAATCACATAGCAGTCAATTAACACTCAATCATATAAATTCCACTTGAATCAATGATTAAATCTCATCCTAAAGTTACCGGAATTATCCCCCATTTTTAGCCAAATTCGGACATCACAAAGCAGCAACTTTAAATGGATAATTTAAGCCCTAAATGGCTGTCACATACCAGAATTTTCCAGCAAGAACCGGACCTAGCAGGGGGAAGAAGCCGGCGGCAGTGCAGGGGAGAAACTCACGGATCTACCCAAAATTGAAGGAAATAAGAGCAATCAAAGTTAACCCAAGCCAATTCAAGCAAGAACAAAGGAAATTAGGGGCTGTTCTTACCGAAAAAATGCCCAGAAATCACCCATACCCACTAGCAGCCGGCGGTGAAGACAAGAAGAGCAAGGCAGATCTGGAATTTCCAGCAAGGGGGAAAGATTTCTGGGTTCCAAATCAGGTTCTTGGACAAGAAAGAAGGAGAAATTCCAAGCTTTCTCACCAATTTTTCAAAGCTGGTGCCGGCGGCTTGGAGGGGGGATTTCGGGAGCTGCAGCGAGAAGAAGAAGATGAGCAGAATCGGGCTGGAGAAAAAGAGGAAAAAGGAGAAAAGAAATAAGCAATCCTTATCCAAATTTCTACTCTTTTAAGCCCCTCAACTTTGGATATTTTGCTCTTAAGCCCAAAACAATATTTTTCCACAATTTAACCCCTAACTCACTTATTTATTCTAGAAATTTTTGGGGTATTACATAGATAAACTCTGAAGAGAACATAACAAAATCAAGATTGAAGAACTAGCTTGATAGATGGTGTGCCTGTAAGATTGGCAGAAGAATTGAAGGAAGTCAAGATACCAATAACAAAATTAGGCCAAGCAATAATTTGAAGTAGGTTAATCGCAATTGCAAAGCCTAAAAATTATTTCTGGTAAGAGGTGTTGAGCCGGCCAAGGAAAAGAAAGAAGATAAAGTAGGCAAGTCAATGCAAAAGTCTAGAGGATATTTCTTGGAAGATGCATAGTAAATAGGCAAAAACCTATCTTTAGTCCTTTATCTTAATAAATTTATAAGCTTTAGCACCTCAACTTATATTATAACACTTTTAGCCTTCATTTATACGAATTGAATAAAATAACCCTCCTTAACATGAGGTTAAAACGTTTGTCAGCTGACAACTAACATTCTATTAACAATCAATTGATGGACTATTAACGGTGACAAGGATAAAGCTAATAAAATGTTAATAGTTAGTTGACAAACGTTATAACTTAACATTAAATAAAAGTTATTTTTTTCAATTTGTAAAGGTAAAAAATTAAAAATATTATCATATAAAGTAAGAGATTAAAATTTATAAATTTTTAAAGATAAAAAACTAGAAGTAAGTTTTTGACTGGTAAAATACCAGTGAAATGAATAAATAAATAGTCGAAAGTAGTTGACATTCACACTGACACTGATTACCGAAGCATAACCCAAGTTTTGACCCGCTGGTAAGAGCAAATCATTTTAATAAAATATTATAAAAAAA